TGTGATCAATACCAATGCTAAATTCCGAACCGTCTTCCTTGAGAGATCGACCCGGGAAACGAATCTTTTGATTCGGTTCTCGGTAAAAATAAAAATAATTTGCTACAACAAAGCCCATAGGTCTATTGAATTTTAATAACTTTTTTTCTGGTTTGCTTGGATTTTTAGACCAAGGAGTATATCAAACATTTATATCTCCTCCAACGAGAGAAGTATTCAAATCTGCAGATACGTCTGGTGAGCTTATCAAAAGGCTTCAAGAATGCATCACATTTCAAGAGTCTGTTGAAACACAAGGCGTTAAGCGAAAAAGATCTTTTGATCCTTTAGATCTCTCATTATGAACCCAGATAATAATAATGGGTGGCAGAGTTACGGAGTTTTATACTCTCGAGATGCACCCTTCTTTTATGGGTTCTATTATGTAATATTACTTATTTTGTATTTATCGAGTATGTACTGCATCTTCTCCATATTTCAATCATATGATCTTTCTGTACTTGTTTCTTATTAATAATAATATCAATTTCACTTTTCCACAAGAACTGTGTAGTGATTCATGACTATAATTATTTACCATATGTGCTTCTTTTGGGGCACTTTATTGTAATATCTATATGATCTCGAATCTCAATGTGATCTGATATAGACTCATGTAATATATTGAGAAATCATTTTGTGTGATCACTCATAGCTGATAACTTTTGGTACCACTTTCTCATTTTGTTCAATTATCCAATGGTAGTTTCTGGTACCATTTCATCATTTTGTTTAATCATAATGCGGTAGCTTTTAGTACCAATATGCCAAATATCATTAAACCACTATGTAGTACTTTATGGTACTACATCAAATTTTCTTTTCTCCAATATTTAGAGATTTTATCACTGTTTTTCAGTATCAATTTAGTTCATAAAATGTCCGATCACAATAAAGACTTTAATCAACTTTCACATGGCCAAATACAAAGTATCATTAATTTCACTCATCGGCTATCAATTATAAGCACTGCCCGTCGCCGGCGGCGGAGCCGCACTGGCCGGCCCATATATAGCCAATCATATTTTACTTCACATGGCCTTCATCGGGCCATTCCATTCACCAGCTATTATTAATTAATACACTGGCCGGTTCATATAGTCGTTCAATATAATATGTTGCTGCTGACTGCAATACTTGACCATTTCACATAACTGTTCATAATATTTTAATTAACAATTGATCCGTCAGCTACCATTAAATATTACTTGTAGGCGGCAGAGCCATACTAGCCGGTCCTCGTAGCCAAACAGACTTATTCTCATATCACAAGGGTCATAAATATTCAATGTTCACTTACCAAATATTACAATAGTCAATCAATAAATATTAAATAAGCACATGCTCATGTATCCAATAATTTCCAAAATAAGAAAAATTTAAGTATTTCATA